ATAATTATGGAGTGTGATTTATTTTCAACTCAAAATAGCTTCAAACTAATGAAATATAAAGTTATTAGGGAAGAAAACCCGTCTGGATAACAGCAGACTGACTGCTCATAAAATATACGACAGGTTTGGACCACACGTGAATTTTGTTCGTATCTGAAAAAAAAATCTTAGAATACGAAAACATTGGTGAATGCCACAAATTCTTCTAAATCCCTCGTATGCACAACTTAAGAACAAATCTGTGCGTACAAACGGTTCTTGCATGAGGCCCATTGTTTTCAAATAAAAAAAATAAAAATAAGAGCATCGTAACAATATTCATTATGCAATTTTTGTCCATTTTTAGGACTTTTTTTGTACACCAACCTTACAACAAAGGTAACAAAATGTTGTTACTTGTTATTTTCTAATATAATTAATTCAGAAAATCTTTTCAGGACCCCCACCTTGATATTTCGGGACCCCAACCACTGCTTTAAGCTATACAGCTGATGAGTTTCACAGAAACCAAAAGCGGACAACAGCGACTGTTTTGTTTGAGAAAACTGGCAAAGTTTCAGGTTGACAAGTCTTTTATGATTCTGTGTTATAAATCATATGTTGAGTCTGTGCTGACCTGTTCTCTCCTCTGCTTGTTTGGAAATCTTAACATTAAGTCAAAAAAATGCACTYAGCAGAGTTGTACACACAATTAACAAGATCATAGGAGTTGAACAATGCTCACTTACAGAACTGTTTAATAGACAGATCACCAGGAAAACTACTATTCTTGCTGACAACTCTCATTTTTTACACACTGAGTTCCAGTTTCTGCCTGTTGGCCACCAGCTCAGACTTCTCTGTATGAAAAGTAACAGGTACAAGTATTCCTTCATCCCTATAGCTGTTTCTCTTTTTAATGCAGGACAAAGTAGGGGGACTTGCATCTGAATGTTGGGGCTCCTTGTTACCAATGATACCAATGTTGGTAACTGTTCACTGATTTATATTTGTTGTGTTTTGGCGCACTGTATTGCATCTTATTTGTTATAAACTTTTTAAAAATTTGTATACGTTTTTAAACTTTTTCATTATGTCTTTGTATGTATAAGTACTATACACTCGCTGTAACATTAATTGCCCTTTTGGGACCCAAATGAATCTGAACCTGAAACCTGCCCACTGGTTGAGATATTTTGCTAACAGTTGACTTGAACAGATTAGGATCTATTGAGGACAACTCTCGTAATAAAATTAACCAAGTTAGAGCTGTTATTAGCTGTGGTGGCCATCTTGAATGGGGTTGACTCCAAGGGCGTAACTTTAAGTCTACCATTGGGGGGGTTATGCTCGAAAACATGACATTGTACATTTTTAAATCAAGTCAGTTACCTAAAGACAACAAGAGAGTTGCATCTGTCTGCTTCACCAGTTAATTTCTACTGTGTTTGAGCAAATGATGTCATTTTATTGGGGGGGGGGGGGGGGGTTATATGGACTGGATCAAATTATTGTGGGGGGTCATAACCCCCCTGCAAATTACGCCAATGGTTGACTCCTAAGTTCATGTTGACCTGTCCACTGGTTCATGGGATATTTTGCTAACACTAGTCCTTTGCTTTCAGCAGTGGATAATCATAAACTAATTATTTGAGTTTATTTAGGCTTGATAAAATCTTTTTCTTAATACATACCTGTATTTCAGTCACTCAATTCCCCAGGTAGCTGTAACTCTGCTACCTGGTCACTAATTAACWTCATTAAACACACCTGAGCTGATCCACTGGGCGCAGGGAAGTCCAGAGGACCAACCTGGAGCGTGAGTTGACTTTAGGGCGCGTTTGCAGTCCAGAACCACCCGGTAAGACCCGCATTTCCCTCCAGAGTGACTCAAAAGTTGGGTTTTTTGGGGGGTTCATTGAATTCCAGGTTTGTGTTGCAGTGACGCAGTTCGGCCAGCAGGGGGCAGCGTCGCGCAACTAAACCCTGCGACGCTGAGGAAATTAACGCTTCAAACCGAGTCGAACCGAGCTSACGGTGTTACTTTGAGACTAATTAGAGGTGAAGCTCGACAAACCTGCTGAACAACAATGATAAGGAGCCYCGAGGCTCTAACGGTCCGGTGTTACCAGGGAGGAAGCAGACTAATGATCCTGAGTGGCAGCTGCGAGGTTTGCTTTAATTGGTCCGCTGTGGATCAGACGCTGCGGAGATCCTCCCACATCCCCCTCATCCGGTCCAATTGGCTGGACGGGAACATGCCAGGAGGGCGGACTGTAATTTGCTTCTGGTGTGTTTGGTATAAAAACCGGGTTAGGCGTCCAGACAAGCGAGGAAATTATCCCACTTTCCTTCCCGGCGGTTTCTGTCCGGTTCCTGACGAGACTACCCAACCAAGAACCACCTCCACGGGTCCTCCGTTGCTCCAGGTCAGTCCAAACGCCATTATCCTTTGCTTTTATTTTATTTTCAATAAGCTTCGAGGGTTTCAGATGCAGTAAGTGAAGGTCATGGTGTGGTTTGAGGGGTTTTATGAGCTGAGAGGTTAGGGTGAAAATACATGTGTTTGAGATGGTTCCTTTAATCACATTAAAACTGTTCAAATGTTTTTTGACTCTTCTGCATCCTCATGTTTTCCCCCTCTTCCTCCTGCAGATCTGCCTCCTCCTCCTCTTTGAGCGAAACCCTTCAAGATGATGCAGATCAGCAGCGACTCCGCCAGCAACAAGCACTCCCTCATCAACGTCATGCACCGCTTCATAGCCGCTGCCAACAACATGGATGAGACCATCATGGTGCCCAGCCTGCTGAGGGACGTGCCCCTGGAGGAGCGGGCCGCAAACAACAACAACCACCTCCTCATCCGCCCCGAGGAGGAGTCCCAGCTGTGCTCCAACAAGCAGAGGGACATGTACGAGCACTACCTGCTCCTCAAGTCAATCAAGAACGACATGGAGTGGGGTCTGCTGAAGGAGATGAGCGGCGGCGCCGGCTTCCTGGAGATGGCCGTGCAGCAGCAGGAGGAGCAGCAGAAGCCTCTGCTCCTGGAGGACAATGCCGACCTGGAGCATCAGTTCCACTATCACCTCAGAGGACTGTTTGGAGTTCTGTCCAAGCTCACGYTGCAGGCAGACCACCTCACCAACAGGTACAAGAGGGAAATCGGTGGAGGGAACTTCATGAGATGAAGGCCTGCCTCTGCCTCTGGACTGAACCTCCTCCTCCTCCTCTTTGTTTGTAACTGAACAGATCAGGGCATCCATCCTCTCACTCCTCACTCAGCACTCCACCTGAAACCCGTGACGCCTGCTCGTTGCCAGATGTTGATGGTGCTCGGCGGAGGTTTAAAGACTCCCGGGCCTGATGAAGCACAGCTCGGGCTTAATTCAGAACTTCACTTATTTTATTTTTCTTTTTATCACGTAAAGAAATCACTAGAGTCTTGTGGGGAATAAAAAGGTTTGACTAGGAGATGTTGAATGCTGGTTATTCTGCCCCTCCTTTTATTTTATTTTCTTAAATTATTTTGATCGATGCTGAGCTGAAGGGCTCTTACCTTTAAAATGTTGTGCCTTTTATTTTATTTTTTTTGTACACCTGCATGCCCTGATCGGTTCACTGTTAATGTCACTTGTTCATACTTCAAAACAGTTTTTATATTGATGCCGTTTAACTGAAATAAACATTAAGTTTTAACAAACCTGYATCTGTCACTGCTGTTAAAGCTCTATAACCCATAAACTGGTGCTTTAAGGTCATCCAAACTGGCCATCATGGTTTCATGTAAATATTATGGCTCTGCTACAATGCAGATTATTCAGACGATGAAGAAACCCTTTAATATCGGTCATAAATGCTGAAATAAAAGCATCAATTGTTTGCTCAATCAAGCAAAATCATCCCCTTRGCAACAGCTCCACCAATCCCGTGGCTGAAACATCCCTGCTGTTTGTCTCGGACACACAAGCAGTGATGATGAAGGGTGCTCACAAAGCAGGCCTGAGGGTCAGAGAGTTTACATTAAAATGACTGAGTCCAAGCTCTGCAGCGCTCCTCTGCTCACAATGGGCCCACACAGGGGGGGCTTGAAATCAAAATGGCTGCTCTGGTCAGTGGGCCTCAACCCACTCAGATAAACTGGGTCAACTGAGCTGCAGACAGCTGGCCCCTCAGGAAACTAAGTGGAGATTTGGTGCTGAGCTGATTTAAAGGACAAAAACAAGCATGCTGGTGTACACGGTGCAATATTAAACCAGTATATTCCCTGTCAGCTTCAGAGCTGGTGTGATTAAAACTGCTCAAAGACAAATCAAACATTAGGTTGATTAAAAAGCAGCTAATGGATGGAGAGGGGGAGGTATTAGCTACGAAGAGAAACCAGAAACTTGGTTAAATTTGTTCAAATGTGACAAATCTGCCAAAAAATAATCTTTTTGTTTACAACTTTATATCCTACATATTAAAAATATAATTCATGTTAACTTTTGATGATTGTAAACTACATAGTTAGCTTTAGCAGAAACAAATTACTAGTTGAAGATGACAAATTTCACATTTAGTTTTCAAATTTGATATTCATTATTCACATTGTTTGATTTGCCCTACATAAAAT